GTAAAAGAAGGCAGCTGGGTAGTTCTGCAGAACTGCCATCTTGCAACCTCATGGATGCCCACACTGGAGAAAGTCTGTGAGGCAAGTACAAATAGGAGCTTAAACTATTATGACAACTGTTTCTTTTTTGGGGGAACCCAAGGTTCTAGGCATTGATGTCATGTAGAAAAAAGACGAGTCGTAACTGATAGGCTAATTTTGTGGGTGAGATGGGCAGAGCAAAGGGTGAGGGAGCCAGAGCGGGGAAAAGATGTCGGTACTCAGATTGGCTGATAAGGAAGGTAGCAGAAGGAGGGTAACAGCTGCCAAGTTACGAGTGACATTGTGAACAAAGAGAACATTTGAAGAATCGGTGGATCTTGAAAGCGATGATGGAAAAAATTACAACTGGACTGAAGGCAATAAGATAAAATTCATAAAGCCAGGAATAGGAATATGTGGCTGAGGTAGGAGGCAGGCCTACTAAATCTGGGCTGAACATGATTACTAAATGATAGCAAAACGATTTTTTAAAAAACCTTCTAATTATTTGTTGAATCCTACTGGAGATCTGGATTTCTCAGCTTATCTGTTAATATAATTGCATCAGGTTGGCTTTTGTGGGAGCATGCAAATATACCTTTGGGTCATCAATAAATAAAAGAGGTTTCGCCCATAGATTGCTTGGCAGATCCAAGAGTGGGCAACCTGGAAAGGCTGGGGAACAATCCTTTGTCAATCAGCCTTTCCCCCTCCCTGCGTGGGTTCTTCCCCTTCTGTTTTGCCCACTTGGGCTTCTGCAAGGGGAAATGTTAATGAGCAGATGCTCCTGTACTTAAGAGGGGAGGGCTGAAGGAAGCTATACTGGCCAGTTTGCTCTTCTGACTGGATCAGCTAGTTCTGTATAGTGTCTCAGCAAAGGAAGTGGTAATGCTATTGCCAACCCATCAAGTTAGCTAATATTTCTTCTATTTAAGCCGCATCATTGCCATTTCCATTTCCATAACTATTGAATTTCTGAGGGTGTATTATTACATGAGCAGGGTGAAATGGTTGGAGCAATCAGCAAAAAAAACCCAAGACATAAATAGTAATTTTTACTAGTTTGGGAGTTTCAGCATTAACTTAATCTTTGAATACTTATCTTGAATCAACCCTTCATAAAATGTATTATTGGGAAAGTGCCGTACCTTGGGGCTCTAAATGTGAGTAGTAGCTTTCATTGAATTCAACTTTCAGCATGTATGCTTAGGTTTGGCCTGCAGGGTGTATTTATTTCTAATATTGAATTAGACTGTATCATTTGATTTTTTAAACTATGATATATTGGTTTTTAAATCAAATTTCAATATTTTGTGAAGATGGATTTGTGGGGGCGGGTTAAATTAGATAGGCCTAAATTGGCACTGGCTATCTCAGAAGTTCAATTACAGAGGCACACAGAAATATCTCTTAGATTACAATGGTAACAATTAGTTTTTAAATTGGAGTATATAACCATTGTATCAGACATTGATTTATGGATGCTACTAAAACATAAAATAGATCTAGCACATTTGCCCACATAACATATGGCATAATATCTCAGCTGTGCTTGAAAGTAAAGAACAAGTATGGAGAAGCAGTACTTCCAATAAAGGGAAGCAGTTATCTGGCGTTTTCTGCATTTATTGAACTACAACTATCCTTGTAGTAAACTCCCAAGCAAGATAGCCTAGAGCAGGGCTTTTCAACTAGTGGTACGGGTACCACCTGTGGTACATTGCCACCTGGCAGGTGGTACACAACCATCCTAGAAAAGTGGTAGTGGGGGAAGGGAATGAACTGAACCAGTGGCAGCACAGCCCAAGCCTGAGCGAGAGATGGCTGGAGCTGCAGGGCTGTCGGCCTCAGCGGAAGCACCAGGATCAGCACTTCTTCGGGGCTGTCAGGGCTCAGCGGAAGCGCCAGGATCAGTGCCGCTTTCCAGCTGATCGGCGCTTCTTCGGGGCTGTCAGGACTCAGTGGAAGCACCAGGATCAGTGCCAGGCTCCAGCTGCAGCTTGGCACTGATCCTGGTGCTTCTGCTGAGCCCTGAAGAGGCACCAATCAGCTGGAAAGCAGCATAGATCCTGGTGCTTCTGTTGAGCCCAGAAGAAGCGCCAATCAGCTGGAATGTTGCAGCATCTCCAGGGTCTTGTGATTTACATTCAGATGCTTGGCAATTGATTCATATTTATGACGGTCACAGTGTCCCAGGGTCATGTGAAGTGACCAAAACCTGCTACAACCACCCAGCAGATGGCGGGAATAAAAACCAAACACCCCCACCCCATCCCCACTGCCAATCCTCAACAGAAATGCTCACAACAATGGAAACCTCGGACAGGAGGAAGAGTGTGGCAGGTGTCTTGCTCGGCTGTGCCTTGGGGGGCACTTTTTTCAGTGCCATTGTAACTTCTAAGAGTCACTAAGTGAACTGTTGTAAGTCAAGGACTACCTGTACTTTATCACTTTTTTCCTTTTTTTTTGGTCATCAAGCTTTTGACACCTTGCTAGGCGACTGATGGTACTCGGATGTTGCCATATTCTAAAAGTGGTACAATGGGTGAAAAGGTTGAAAAGCCCTGGCCTAGAGTTATAGGAGTAAATTAAAATATCTGGTCAGCATCAAGTTAACAATCTCAGCAATACAAGATTTCAGACTAAACATGAATACACATCACAAGTTTCCTGTTCCCATTTATAAAAACAGTTATTGGACATAAATATATTTGAATGTGTATTGGCCTTAAGAAGAAATTCTTGATTTGTAACATCAGCTGGTGATCTCTTGTCCTTACTGAGATTTTTCTTCTTCTCCATTAGGAACTGAATCCAGACACAACGCATCCAGATTTCCGTATGTGGCTCACAAGCTACCCATCTCCCAACTTCCCTGTTTCTGTGCTCCAGAATGGAGTGAAGATGACCAACGAGGCTCCTAAAGGCCTACGGGCAAACGTGATCAGGTCATATCTGATGGACCCCATCTCAGATGTGGAGTTTTTTAACAGCTGCAAAAAGCCTGTCAGTATTTCATGATTAGTCTTAATAATAATAATGATGATGATGATGATGATGATGATGATGATAAAAGTTGGAAGGGTCCTTGGAGGTCATCTAGTCCAACCCCCTGCTCAGGCAGGAAATACCATTTCAGACAAATGGCTGTCCAGTTTCTTCTTAAAAACTTCCAGTGTTGGCGCATTCACCACTTCTGGAGGCAGGTTGTTCCACTGGTTAATTGTTCTAACTGTCAGGAAGGAAGTTTTTCCTTAGTTCTAGGTTGCTTCTCTCTTTGGTTAGTTTCCATCCGTTGCTTCTTGTCCTGCCTTCAGGCGCTTTGGAGAATAGCTTGACTCCCTCTTCTTTGTGGCAGCCCCTGAGACATTGGAACACTGCTATCGTGTCCCCCCTCGTCCTTCTCTTTGTTAAACTAGACATACCCAATTCCAGCAACCGTTCCGTATATGTTTTAGCCCCCAGTCCCCTGATCATCTTTGTTGCTCTTCTCTGTACTCTTTCTAGAGTCTCAACATCTTTTTTACATCGTGGTGACCAAAACTGGATGCAGTATTCCAAGTGTGGCCTTACCAAGGCATTGTAAAGTGGTATTAACACTTCACGTGATCTTGATTCTATCCCTCTGTTAATGCAGCCCAGCACTGTGTTGGCTTTTTTGGCAGCTGCAGCACACTGCTGGCTCATATTTAAGTGATTGTCCACTAGGACTCTGAGATCCCTCTCACAGTTACTACTTATTTTTTTTTCTTCTTGCAAAACCAGCTCAAGCAGACTCTTATAGCTGGGAGGTTGTGTTTTTGCTGGTTTTAAGACCTACCAAATGAAATAGCCCTTCCATGCACAGAAACGTGCCTTTATGTCTGCCTCCTGGGATGCAGTTAATAGCAGGCTTTATTAAAATTGTATTTTTATTTTACCGCCAAGCTTTATTCCTCTTCCATCCAGCGTCGGTGGTATGCCATTAATAATACCGCGTGCCCATTTTTAAAGAAGTCAGGAGGAAGCAGTTTCCCGATGCAAATCTGCAAAGCAGGGGAGAAATTTGTGCAGCCGAAGATGAGCTGAGTATTGCCCTGCTGAGAATCCAACCTTCTTTAATCGAAAGCATTAAAATGCTAGTTTCATAGAACTGGGAGGATGAAAATGGCTGTATGAGTTGATGGATGGCACTCATCACTACCTTCTTTAGAATAACAGCTTCCAGTGAAGAGCCACCTGCTGTTTTCATAATTAGGTTTCAGAGAGCGAAGGCGCTTGACCCAGGATAATTTCCATGATCGGGTGTCGTAATTAAGAATAGGAGATTGTTGTGCTTAAACTGAGATGATTATGTTTGTCTGCTTGCCTGGCAATTAAAAAAAATAAATCTCTGAAACTTTTTAAAAAGTTTTTAAAAAATGCAAACATACCGAAAGAAACAAAAGAAGCAAGAGCAAGCATTTAGGATGCCGGTTTTAAATACATCGTTCCTAAGCATTTGTTCCTAAAAGGCAGCTCACGTCATAATTGTGTAAATTTCCGGGCTGCTTTGCTTACCCAAGGCTCAGTTTTCTTGAAAGAAGGGCACAGGAGACTTTCTGACCTTTTCGTAGAAAGTTTATAAGTGTAAAAAAAAAAACCCCACCGTTTTCAAACTCCAGTAGAGTTCTATCTCCCATCTGATTCCCAAAACCCCTTACAAAAGAGAGCAGCTTGATTTTTTCCCCCTTTTCTTCAGGTTCAGCACAGATTGCTCCCCCTGCAGACTATCTGGGCCCCCTCTACTCTTCCTATACACTTTGACCCATAGTTCCAAGGCTTTTCATGCACCTTCAGTAGCTTTGGGTGACCATCCCGCCACCTTTCTAACATAGCAGCACAAGTTTAGTACTTCAGCAGATCAGTATCATTTAATTAAGTTAATATTGTGTTTTAAATTCAGCTTAGTTTTGGAGTTGGCCCCATCTGCAGTTGCCTGATTGGGAGGAAAGCATCTGGAGAGAATGCAGGGCACATGCACATGCACATGCACACACAAACACACACACACACAAAAAGAAGTTGGACATGAGATCAGCTCTGCTTGCATGAAATATCACTCTTAAGAGGGAATTTGGGGCTGGTGGACACATTGGCTTTTGAGAACATGTCATGTGTAGCCACACAGAACAGCTGCCACGGAGACATTCCTGTGTGCTAATTGGTAACATGATGGTTATGGCATTCACAAAGCATCCGTTACCTTTCCTAGCCTCACATTTATCAGAGTACATTTACCTTTCCTATGGACAAATGGGACACTTCCAACAAAGCACTAAGCAGACCTCTGCCCCAATGGCGTTCAGGAAATTAAATATTTGGAAGAACCATCCAGTTCAAGAACCTGCTCAGGGAGGGAATCCAGGGCAAAGCTTCCCTGCCATATGGCTTTCTAGCTTCTGCTGGAGCCTAGCCAACAAAGGGATCCCACCACGCTTCTAGATCATTAGCTGCATTGTCCAACTTTTATTCCAGTTAGGAAGTTTGTTCTGTACTTTGGCTAAAATCTGCCAGTCTCACCCCCCCTTTAAAAAAATAAATAAATCACTCTTACATGCTGGGATGCTAGAGAACAGGCCTTAACCTTTGTGTGGCAATCCTGCAGGTATTGAAAAAAATGCTACAGTATTTCCATTCCGTACTTTTTTTCTAACAGGTAATCCAATTCCCATATGGTGTGTTTGGTCACACAACAACCTTTCTATTTGTCTGATCCTCCCGCTTTCTTTGAAACTTTTTGCTTTCTTTGACAGTTTTCTAAAATAGAGTGCCCACATACTGTATGTTTTCGAAAAGGTTATCTATTGGACGCAATAGTATACAGGGCAGAAGGAGAAGGTGCTGAATCACGTAGAATGGAGGGGAATATACTTCCTCTGCTTTAGGAATACAGATAATGCTAGAAGGCGGGTGCTTGGCTTTCGCAGCACTGAATTGTTTGGATTAAAACAAGCTTTCTTAAAATAAAGGTGAGGTGGGGCAGGATGCCAGACCTGCCACGAGGGGATTAACAGCGGCACAATGAACCAAAGGGCATCACTTGCTACTCCTCCCTTTCCCACTGCCCGTATAAGACAACCGTGGACAACTTCTGGGGTCACGCATAGTCTTTGGATCGGGTGATGATGCAAATGGACAAAATCAGACATTTTTTTTTCTTGTTTAGTTTCTCTCCTAAGTTTGCAGCTGAAGAATCGAGGTTTTAATTATTTAGCTGTGTTAAACTTAATAATACTTTCAAGGGAACATTTCGCTTGTATCGGGGCTTGTTCCATGCCCCCAGTTTTCAGCAGTGGTGTTCGGAGGGTGTTCAGGGGCTGCTGGGGGCACCTTTAAAGTTAGAAATATGGGTCTGTTTAGCCTGAGCTTCAAAGATTGCCTTGGAGCACATGATGTAGCTCTCCAGTGGAAGTTAAGCAGTTCCAAATTGCCTCCGTGCTAGAAAATGGATCTAGAAAGAAGGCTGATGTTAACTGTGGGGAACCCCTTGGGGGGAAGCAGGTAGCATAATATGAAAGAAAATAATCACTGAATTAACCACAGTAGCACAACTGAGAATCACTAGGCCAGGGGGAGGCAACCTTGGCTCTTTTATGACTCGTGGACTTCAACTCCCAGAATTCCTGAGCCAGCATGGCTCAGCTTGGAAACCTCTCCTTTCCCCCTCAGCGTGGCTGGCTCAGGAATTCTGGGAGTTGAAGTCCACGAGTCATAAAAGAGCCAAGGTTGCCTACCCCTGCACTAGGCAGAAGAACGGCCTAGATAAGCCTTTCCTTTTTCTCCTTTTCCAAAGGCTGAATTCAAGAAGCTCCTGTACGGCCTCTGTTTCTTTCACGCCCTGGTCCAAGAGAGACGAAAATTTGGGCCGTTGGGCTGGAATATTCCCTATGAGTTTAATGAAACTGACCTGCGGATCAGCGTGCAGCAGCTGAATATGTTCATAAATCAGTATGAGGTACTGAACAATTCCCAAATAACGTCAGTTTTGTTCTCTCCATTGCTGAAAGAGCCGTCTGCAGTTAACCGCTTGTTTGTTTGTTCATTCAAAAATAACTAAATAAATAAACTTTCTTCGCTGGGGAAATGGGGGATTTCTCTCTGATGCCGTTGGAGGTGGTCATGATTTATTTTCAAGATCTTGAGGAGCCATAAAGCAAGTATGTTTAATTTAGGGGGTTGAAAATGGATGCTAAAAACCAATATAATTTTGTTAAAAGTATATATTTTCAGCAGAGAGAGTTTACATTCTTGGGTCCTGTCTTTTCTGAGCATTACTACATCCTGTTTCCAAAACACCCCTCCACCCAGCTAATGCTCCTCTCTCTCCTTTTAGGTTCCTTTTAAACTTCTGTTTTTTAATATATATATACTTTTTATTTTATATTTTTTAGCCTTTGATAATAATAATTTTCAGATCCTGATGTGTTTCCTGCTCTTTTTATGTTTGTCTTTGACTATACTAAAGATTTGATTTGAAAACATTGTTTTTTTGTTTTCAGGACTTGCCATTTGATGCTGTCCGCTACATGACGGGCGAATGTAATTATGGAGGCAGAGTTACCGATGACTGGGATCGGCGCACATTGCGCAGCATTCTAAACAAATTCTATAATCCAATTATTGTGATGGATCCCAACTACAAATTTGATACCAGTGGCATTTACTATGCTCCTCCTGAAGGAGAAGTAAGCACCTAAACATATAACAACAACAACAACAACAACAACAACAACAACAACAACAATAATAATAATAATAATAATAATAATAATAATAATAATAATAATAATAATAATAATAATAATAATAATAATAATAATAATAGTGACCTTGGTGGTCATCTAGTTCAACCTCCTGCTCAGGCAGGAAACCCTATACCATTTCAGACAAATGGCAGTCCAGTCTCGTCTTAAAAGCTTCCAGTGTTGGAGCAGTGTTGGAATATAATGATACAACAGAAAGTTTTTTGTCACCAAATATATAATGATAGGACGTTTTTCTGACCAAATCCCATTGAATGGAAGGGAATCCAGGCGAATGGCTGATGCTAAAAGATCAGTGTCTACAAATGGCTGACAACATATCAGAGGAATTCTTTCTTTTTTTCTGGCATAGTTAATGAATAAGATGCATCAACACAGATAGTCTTTCCTGCACAGCAAAAAAATATTTGGGGGTGGGTGTTTTTTTTGTCATTTTCTGGGGTCAAATGCGATGGCTCTGGTGTAGCCGTCAACCTGTATTTTAAAAAATCTCTTTGTAATATCCCTGCGTTCTTCAGCATGTCCAAGATTCAATGTTCCCATTGGGCTTCATAAGTAGATATCAGGTGATATTGAGCAGCTGGGGAATGTTATATGTCACTTCACAGAGAAGATCTAACTCCCATCCATCAGAGAATCCCAAATCCCCTCTCGCTAGGGAAACAACAACAACAACAACAACCCAGAAGGAAAGCAATGATGGTTCAGACAAAGAGGGACACCTTTACCTTTTCTTACCTTCAATATTATCTGGTTCTTCTGAGGGGGAGGGGATCAAGTCTTCAGTGAATCTGTAATCTTCTTTCATAGCAAGACATTGAGAGAGAGAGAGAGAGAGAGAGAGAGAGACTGGTCCAAGTCACCCAGTGGGCTTTCATGCTTTAAGACGGGACTAAAATTTACATCTGTTGATTTCTAGTTGTCACAACAAACTGGCTTTAGGCAGACTTATAGCTCCCTGCAATTCAGGATCAATTTACTAATAGACCACTGTTCTTAATTATTTTCAGTATCAAAGTTACATTGAATACACTAAGACTCTTCCTCTGAATCCTGCCCCAGAGATCTTTGGGATGAACTCCAATGCCGATATCACCAAGGATCAAGCTGAAACACAGTTGCTCTTTGATAATATTCTTCTCACACAGGTATGTTCATTTTCAGTTCAAAAACTAAGAACCTACCTACCAGCACACTACAACCAATGGTTTTGTTCACTTTGGGGGATAGTATTTGAAGTGCAGAAAATCAGCTTTTTCTTCCCTGTGGTGGGCCTGTAATCTTCGTGAATTATCTGGCATATTAGACTATGAAATACTGCAATTAGGTTTTACAAGAGTAGTTTCTAAATTGCCTGACTACTGAAAAGTATCCCCAATAAATTCCAAAATATATATTGGTATTCTTCTGGAAATTCCACCAGCAATAATGGGTATGTACAAAGATGTCTGCAGTACTTTAGGAAGTAATCCTGGCCTACAAGCCTCTAATGCTTTGCTATTTTTACTTCTATTTCTCAAACACAATATTAATACAAGGTTCAGGAGATCTATTGTACAATTTCATTTTCCCCAAGGATGAAAATATTTCCATTCCAATTTGAGAACTAAGTAACAACAACAGACTTGAGAGGCACACATAAATCTTCAAGCCATGCAGTGTCCTTCCACACAGGATGCCTAATGATCCAAGGTCTTGACATTGCGCAAAGGCTTGATTGTGAAGCAAGAGGAACAGGTCCACCATCTAGACCAGAGGTAGGCAACCTTGGCTCTTTTATGACTCATGGACTTCAACTCCCAGAATTCCTGAGCCAGCTATGCTGGCTCAGGAATTCTGGGAGTTGAAGTCCATGAATCATAAAAGAGTCAAGGTTGCCTACCCCTGATCTAGACTATATGTGAGAAAGGCCTGGGTCTCAATGCAATTAGAAATTTATGTGGTAAATGCAGATTTGAGTATTCTTAAAGCTCTCCAGATTGCTTACCTTTAGGTGCACCCTAAAAGCCATACCATCTTAAAATTGTTTGGGTCCATACTTAGGATCATTCAGCTGGCTACTTCATAGTTGGTCAGATTGGAAGCAATGGGCTGGGAGCAGATTGACACTTCATTCCTGCTGATTTCAATAGTGCCCTAATGTGAGAGCTGTTTCAAGTGGATTGCACTCCTGAGGATGACCCAGCTTACTTTGCTGCCCTTGAGATGTTACTTTATAATAATAGTAGCCAGCTATATTAAATCTTCTGTGGTCCAAGATGCCCAAAGTATTAAAAAAAAAGCACAAATGGCCCCAAGCCCAGACTTTCTAATATAAGAAACACAATTTTTGCATGTGAATTAAATGACATCAACAGGCCACTTTCTGTCCAAGTTTAAGTCCCCAGTAAAAGTTCCTCTTGCTGAGCTGAAATATCAGGCGGCCTTTGCAGCATTTCACCACTCTCTTTCTCTCTGTTTTGTAAACAGTCTCGTGCAACAGGTGCTGGCGCCAAGTCCTCTGATGAAATTGTTCGCGAGGTGGCAAGTGACATCCAAAGTAAACTTCCCTCTGACTTTAACATTGAAATAGCAATGAGGAGATACCCAACAACCTACACCCAGAGCATGAACACTGTGCTGGTCCAAGAGATGGGCCGATTTAACAAATTATTGCAAACTATACGAGATTCCTGCATCAACATTCAGAAAGCAATCAAGGTAAGATAAGCTGACGAGAAAACGTATTTAGTTTGAATAGGCTGGAAAGAATAGCTGTCAGTTCCCATTAGTTTCACTGGAGTCTTTGAGAATTTGCCCAATAGTTCTTTTAGTCTGAAAGGTTGAAATAATCTCTGAGCTCTGCCTTTCCCCACTGCTTGGGAGGTGCAGTTCTTAGTTATAATAACATGCTCGGCATTATGCATCACTGCTGTTTTATAAATCTAGCAGTGGGGACGAGGCAGAGGATGAAAACCAATGGAAATATACTTTGAAGACAGCAACCTAAGCTAGTGGCCTGCTATGCAGCTGGAAAGATTGCCCCCCAAAAGATACTCAAATGTCATAGTGCAGGGCTGTCAAGCTGCCGGCCCACGGGCTGGACGCATCATCAGGAAACCACGCTAGGAAATTCTCTTTTCAACTCTTTCCTCTGCTAGAAACTTAACATGGACTTTTCATTTTAACCCTTTTCCCCTAATGGACTGGACTGGACTGGACTGGACTGGAATAGAATAGAATAGAATAGAATAGAATAGAATAGAATAGAATAGAATAGAATAGAATAGAATAGAATTCTTTATTGGCCAAGTGTGATTGGACCCAAGTACAGTATAGTACTTGTGTGTCCAAGCACACAGTCCAATACAGTACAGAATACGCACCTTACGTGGCTGCCATGAAGATTACTTGGGCATTGTACGGGAAGGACCAACTAATAAATTCATCCTTTCATGATCTCCAATAGAACATACCTAATGCAATTATTGACAGTAATAACATTTGATTAAATTTGTATGCTGCCTGATTCCAATGATTGGGCAACATATTGTATAGCTCAAATAGTGCTAGTGAAATAAAATCTTTAAATTTCAAAGATAATGCACCTATCTTGTCATGTGTCAACGCTGCTAATATTGGATATTATTTGCTCACTGTATATTTGTCCTTCCACAACTGAACTGTGTAACAAAAATATGAAGTGTTATCAATCCTAACAGTAAACACAGGCATGTAAACCGAGCAGGGGTTCACTGTATATGCTGCGATCACGTATCAGCTCAATTCAAGAGCAGCAGACCCCGATCTTTATGGTTTGGTGGCCCAGCAGGGGTGGGAGAGGGCCCGCCACTCATGCAAGTTGAGCTGCACACGTGTGCTGGCCAGCCACTTGCTCGGCCTGGTTCAGAAAGGGCCACAACCCAGGGATTGGGGACCCCTGCTCAAGAGTACAAGCTTGTACAGTAACATGACAGATTTTGAGTTACCACTGCATAGAGACTAAATTACTAAGCTCTGCTACTCCCTAGAGACAAAATTTGGTAAAGCTATGATATGGAGAGGGAAAAATCCACTTACATGTCTTTTTCCCCCCTGTATCTCAAACAGGGTCTAGTGGTGATGTCTGCAGATCTGGAAGAAGTAGTAAATAGTATTTTGAAAGGAAAAATTCCAGGCATGTGGATGAGTAAGTCTTATCCAAGCCTCAAACCTCTTGGTAGCTACGTAAATGATTTTCTTGCCAGATTGAAGTTCCTACAGGTGAGCACTTCACTTAAAATTTTGATTCCGGGTGCACTTTAGATATGTGTAACTACAATTCATCATCCTAGCATGTTTAATAAGAAAAGCTGTACCATTTCTCTGTATGTGCATATAGCTTTAAATACTGTAAGTCACATACTGCCTGAAGTAGGTATAATTAATATCCAAAGCACTATTTCAGATTCTGGGTGCATGTTGTTTACAATGATTTGAGTTATTAGGGCATATGTTATATAACCTAGTAGTACAATGGCTGCCTATTCAAGTTGTGCCACTGACAATAGAATACTGACTTTTCCCATTACTGAATGCCTGCACTTCAGAAGTCACTTCAAACCGAAGTACATAAATTTTTAAGTGCTGGAGATTCATCTTACCATTGTGCTATGGCAACAGTTTGGTGAGCTTTCCTGCTACTGGTTAAAAGCATATTGACATAAGATTTAGGACTGAATTCGTAGACAAAGGAAACATGGTTTGCCATCCTTAACAAAAAGGAGCACAGGAAATGTAACTCTCTTAAACATGCCGAGGGTATTTAGCAAATTTTGAAGGGGGTCATGGAATGTTACAAGGCAATTTTGTCATTTTTTTATCATCTTCTTCAGTTGCTCAGGGTTTTCTTGTTGTGCTACCATCTAGACCTGAGGTAGGAAATGTGGCACTCTAATATTGTATGGTAATTACAGTCCCTGGTCACATTGATTGGGGTTAACCGAGTCCAAGATCTGGCACACCGTGGGATCCATTGTCATCCTAAAAGAGCTTTGCACAAACCTGAGGCAATCTGCCCCCAGAATTTGCAAAAATCTGATTTTCTTTTGCCATTCGTGGCACATTTAGTAAGGCTTGCCCATTTCTAAAGAGTGTGGTGGCAGTGTGGGGGGGGGAAGCCAGTGAGCAGGTTGCATTCCATTGATACATCCTGATCCAACCTAATGAATTCATTTGTTAATATTAAACCTGAATTTCCTCCTCGTCCTATCATTGCAGACATGGTTTGAAAATGGAACTCCCCCAATGTTCTGGCTTTCTGGATTTTTCTTCACACAAGCCTTCTTAACTGGTGCCCAACAGAATTTTGCCCGGAAATACACCATCCCAATTGATCTGCTGGGGTTTGATTATGAAGTTCTGGAAGACAAGGAATACAAACACGGCCCCGAAGATGGTGAATCTACAATCAGATTAACAGCCTTATAATTTGGAGAAATTTTATTTTAATTACCCCTTTGTACTCTTCTCTTCATCCAAGATGCTCAGGGTGGAAAATTGAGGAAATTGAATTTAAGCTTTTCAAAACCATTATGAAGTTAGGCTGAGGCTATGTGAATGTCCATATGCTAAGCAGAGAGGTGCATCATAGCCCCCTTACTCTTTGTCCACTTGATCCTCTGCATAACATTTTCTTTATATTCATATCAGGAAAATTGGTCATAGTAAATTCCTTGAGATTATCACAAAGATTAAGAGGGTAGATTGTGGCCTAATTGTTCGTTATGGCCACATGTTTAACACAGAAAACCTGCTTCTGAATAGGAAATCACACATAAGTCATACTTTTCAATGGGCCTTGAAACTAATCCAGGGCAAAGCTGCAACCTATATCCTATCTGTTTATTTCTGTTTGCAGAAATAATCATTGTTTTAGATTTGTCTATGCAAGCTGTACAGAATCCATTTATAGGTATGGGCTTCCCTAATGGGAATTATCAAAAATTCATAATCCGATGTAAAGTTCACTTAGAAAATAAAATCCCACACATTGCTTTATGCCAACCTATCCTTTTTTTTCTCAAATAAAAAACAGGAGTCTACGTTCATGGATTATTCTTAGATGGAGCTCGTTGGAACAGGAAGACGAAGAAATTAGGGGAATCTTACCCCAAAATCCTTTATGATAATATGCCAGTGGTTAGTATTTCCTGCTAAATATGATTCCCCCCCCCCCCCTAGTAATCTGTAGAGCTATTCTGTATCCATTGACCTGGGATGAAGCAAGCATGGATGTGATAGTTCCTTGATGGGGATTTAAACATGCACATTAGTTTTGTGTATAAGTAACTCAAGTAACATATGTGATTATATATCCCACTTTGTGCTGTAATTGCATTTGATTGTGCCACTATGCTGATTGGCCTGATTTGGTTCAGACATTCACAAAGATAATCCGCCCTCGCCCAGATAAAGGGAAGAACATTGTAATCCGCTTGCATCTTAATCGTCTCCTTCTACTTGCTACAGATGTGGCTCAAGCCTTGCCGAAGGTCAGACATTCCCAGCAGACCCAGTTATTTGGCTCCGGTGTACAAGACAAGCGAAAGACGAGGAACTTTGTCCACTACGGGCCACTCTACCAATTTTGTGATTGCAATGATTTTGCCTTCGGACAGGCCGGAGGAACACTGGATTGGACGAGGCGTGGCCCTGTTATGCCAGCTCAACTCCTAACCGAAGGCAGGCCGCCGGGAAAGAGGGCCTAATGGGTCACCCTGCCCCATTCAGTAGCTTTTTCATCCCTTTTTTTTCTAAAGAAATTCAAATGTTTCAAAAATTTTAAATACACTTTATTTGCATCTTTTAAGTTGTAAAAAAAAATAGAATAAGTTGAATGAAATAATAATAAAAAGTTCTTGGGGGTAAAAAGCAAGTCTGCATAATTGTTTATTCAATAATTTTATTTTCTTATGTTCCTTGTGAATAAGGAACAGACATTAACACAACACTGTTGACAATGGACAAAAACAGCATTTCATCATTTCCATCCATATATATATATATATATATATATATATATATATGGATTTTGTTGTAACAAATTAAAACACCACACCACCCCCTTCCAAAAGCTGTATCTCAAATATATTTCAGGACCATAATCACATTGTTTCAACCGTTAAGGAAAGAAGTCACACTGCATCCTAGGATGCTACAGCATTTTCTAAGCAATCATCATCACAGCTGATTCAGTGCAGTGTGATCAATATGGGATGTCACACAGTGACAGCATTTTAAGATACAAGTAACATTTATGCCCTCTAACAAGTACACATTTAAATGAGACTGGACTCCAGTGGAAGAGAATGATGAATCCACGTAGAACATGTAGCGGAATCCCGATTGTCCCAAATGTGATCACTTAATTGTATTTCAAAAAAAAATATAAAAAAATGGGGGGGGGGGAAATCAGCACCCAAGGAAATAGGAGAAGCTAGGGCTGCTCTTCACATAGTGTAACAGGCACACAAGTGAATGAGGAAGGATCGTCTCCCGAAGGCTCACCAAAATCCTAACATTCCACCACAGGACTGGTGTTTCGTAAAAAGAAAAAAAATATTATTTAGTTCTAATGGTTTTTTCCCAGATTGACATTACATTAGAGAGCATGCCAGCAGAATGCAAAAGGAAAAACTACTACCTGAAGTAGAGAAAAGCTTTATTCATAATTACAAAAACAGGCTTTGAAAATCTTGTATGCCTGACTTTTTTTTTTGCAAAAGAAAAAGAAGAAGAAGAAGAGAGAGAGATCTCCTTCCAGCAGTCTGGCAGATGCTAATAAATCAAGGGTCCAAGGGCCCAAATCTTAGGAGAAGGAAGTCCCACTGATAGATATCTAAGGGGAATGCAGCAGCATCTCCTCTAGCTTGACGGTAAGCATTTTTAGCTGGAGTTGAGCTACTCTCTCTAGCAAAGGGTGAGACCAAAGAAGATCCAACTTTTCAGTCTTCACAGTTGTTCTGAAATCCAACTGGATATGCAGTTGGTAAGGAAGCAGGAGCCAGTCCTCTGTGGAGCCACCAGCTAACCAAAACACTGCTGTCCGTTAGTATTCAGTCCCTCCCACAAAAGCCACCATCGTCCGACATACCTTTAAAGTAGGCAACACTTCCACAACTGCAGGAATGTCTGGAGAAAAGTCAGTGGAATGATCAAAAAAAGTAAATTGGAATGAAAGCATATCTGGTTTCGTAATTTTTAGGGATTCTCTGATGGGAATCAAAAGAAAAGTAACCCCTCCCCGCTAAAACCCAAACCCACCAACCTTTTTTTTGCAGCTCAGCTTATATATACTTTTTTTAAAAAAGGAAGAAAAATACTGGAAGAAACTAACTCTCAAGATTAGTTTTAGGACTAACCTGTTGTGTTCTTGTTTCCTGGGACTGGAAGTGTCGGCTCTTCTCATAATCTCTTACAATCTGTCTCTAGGGGTTAATAGTTGATTGGCACAAACATTCTCCCTAGGGTGAAGCTAATCCCTGCAGAGTTAAGGCTTTTCCCCAAATCTGCACATGCCATGATGCTAGCTATCATAGAAGGCCTGATCTATGTAATCTCTGCACCACACCTCCCTGGCCTAGGTTTCTAGGAACCCCTGCAGCCATGTGGGGAATCCCCCTGCTGGGGAGGAAGCACCCCCAAGATAGGAAGTCACCTGCTTGGCTTCTGGCAGGAGACCTTGGAACTTCTACAATGCAGAAGGAACCCAACTGCAGCGAAGGCCAGCAGAATAGAAGAAAGTTAAAAACAATGAAAGCAAATCTCCGAAAGGGGCCCTTGGGGAGAAAAATTCTCAATGTCACGCAGCTGCAGATGCTCCACATTTAGGTGGCATGGCACTGGAATTCATACGTTCAAAACTATTCTCAGGAATCATGTGAAACAACATGAAAAAGGGGCTGCTGTCAAAAAAAAACACCTGAGGCAGGACCTCCCTTAATTAACAGAGAAGAAAGTATGAACCGCTAAAAACCAGCATTGCTACCTGCTCCACCACTGCAGCCAGGGGAATTGGAGGAAGTCCAGAAGCAATATTTAGCTATCTGGCATTTTGCTAGCCAATCTCCACAAGCTAGCATGAAATAGCTAATACTTTCCAACCCCATGCCTCCCCCCAAGGTGCACAGACCCCTGAGGCTTGATTCAGAGATCTGCAGCCTGCTTATCCTTGGGCTTCAAAAGGACAAGAGTACAATACTGCATCACTGCCATAATAACGAAGGGGCTCAAAAATTTGCAAAGGAGATATGTGTAGTAGTGGCTGCGGACAAGAACACATGCTTGAAACCCTGTATGAAAGAGCTGATTGGCAAGGAGTGAGAAAAAGGGGGGGGGGGGAGGAAAGTTCAATCCAGGACAGAGAAGAAGAAAATTTAATCCAGTGGCTGAACCAGAAAAACACGTGGTTTCGCTTTGGTCATATCATTCAGCACAGTGCAAAAGAGCTGACCGAGCAGGCAACAAGGCTGGGAGCAAATGCAATCCAATAATAACATGCTAGAAACAATTCATCCTTTTTGCTTTGTTTTAAAAAAATAAACATTAAAAAGGTGACCTTTCCCGGAATGGTTCTAGTTGTACACTGCCAACTAATTTCAATTGCGAGCCTGGGTGTGTGTGTGTGTGTGTGTGTGTGTGTGTGTGTGTGTTACAGGCTGGGACAAGGAGCCCGGGGAATGATCTAGCTTGGCACGTGAATTCTGTGGATACATAGGGGTGCCTTTCACCATTTGCTCAAGTACAACACAAAAGGCTTTTGTCAGCAGGGGGTGTGATTTCGGCTGCACGTTGCCAGAGCCAACTAGAAACGATATGTTTGTAACAGCATCTCATGCATCGTGTTTACATGCTCTGCTTCCAACACAACCTGATTTTTATTTATTTATTTATTTAAAAAGAAAAACACTGGACCCAATCAATCGTATTTTTGTTTGTTCTCTTCCTTTCCATTAGCTAGAAAGAAGCAGAGCCTGTTTAAACAGATACCAAAATACGGTTACAGGTAAACCAGAGTGTGTCACTGCTTTGTCTGGGAACTGATGTGCATACAGTATCACAGGGCAGACTAAAAAAAGTCTTACAGTAGCATGACTGCAATCACAGTTGAGTACTGGAAGTTTTCAAAACTGAATGTCCAACACTATTTTGTCTTCATAAAGGGCAATCACGAGCATGATGGCAAAACCCAGGACAAGCCCCAAGTTCTGGAGGACGAATTGACCCACTGGACAGTAGCCGTGCTCTTCATTGTCTCCATCCCCGTGAAGCATCTCTGGAAGCTGAAAGGAAGGAAAGGTCTGAATAACCCTTTTTAAATCAGGCAGTCCCCGTCTGTAATTCAGAAACCAAGAAGGAACCCTCTGCTTTGAAATGATGGATCTGCACTGAGAGAGGGCTGGGACACTCACTGGCTGACGCTGTTTTTCTCATGAACTTCTCCTGCCACAGAATTCTGCGCATTACTTCTGTGGCTGAAAATCTGAAGCAAACTTACTTCACTTTCCTGCATAATCAAGGATTCCAGTATTACAACCACAGAATTGATTTTATTATAGTTTCTCCATTTATCTTAACCCCATTTATCTGGGGGTTAAAATAAACTGCTACCCATCCAGCAAAAGGAACTTTGGATGGCAAGATATAATCTTATCCAAGTTCATTTTTCTTGGATTTACAAGCGGATACGGCTATTCTTAACTTATAGTTCAACTACTACTCCCTCCCTCATTATTGGTACTGTTCCCTTTGGACAAATGATAGCCTTCAACTGCCATCTTCTGATTATAGGAATCATCCCACCAAACATTCTTCCAACTCCATATCTGCTTTTCTGTGCTAGGAATCCAAGGTCATTCCTGGTCCATCCTCTTGTGTGCAAGCGATTCCCATTCTGGCTCTTTCTATCTAGGCCCCTCTTCCTTCTTCTTTTGTGAAAAACTGCTCCCTCACTGACCTCCCGTAGGGCCTGGGTCTTCTGGCATTAGCAGAGCTGCATGCGCCAAAGGAGTCTTCCTCAGCCTGGGAAACCTGCAAGACTCCAAACGCTGCCCTACCCGAAAGGCCACAGGCACACAACACCACATATTGAGGATCTTACCATGTCCACGAGGGCCACGTAGAGGAACATGCCAGCAGTGATTGCAAAGATCCAAAGAGTGATGTTATTTGCATATTGTCCCACAGCTGTTCCTATTAGCATTCCCACATAAGCCATCATCGCCGAGAGGAGGTTGTAAACAATGGCCTGCTTCACCGTCATGCCCGCCTTCAGAAGTACAGCAAAGTCACCTAGTGGAAAGGAAAAAGCGATAGCACAATCGCAGGCTCATCCAGTCTAATCAGGGACATTCTCACTAAAAAGATCCCTGGTGCTATCTGTCTGTCTCTCTCATATCTATCTATCATCTATCTATCTATCTAATCTATCTAATCTATCTAATCTATCTATCTATCTATCTATCTATCTATCTATCTATCTATCTATCTATCTATCTATCTATCTATCTATCTATCTATCTATCCTATCTAATCTATCTATCTATCTATCCATCCATCCATCCATCCATCCATCCATCTATAAAACTATCTATAGATCAGTGATGACGAACCTTTTAGAGACCGAGTGCCCAAACTGCAACCCAAAACCCACTCATGCATCGTCGGGTGCTGGGTGGGCATGGCCCATTGGGTGGGCGTGGCTGCGGTGGTAACGGCAGACTGGGTGGGACTAAAAAGTTCAATCAATCAATTCCAACTTTGCAAGATCTTATTTTTCCCCGCGAGAAGTTGAAATTGACTGATTGATTGAACCTTTTTTTTTGTACATGGTGGCGGAGGCCTAAAGAAAAAGGTTTTATAAAACCCAGCTGAAGGCCTAGGACTGGGGTGACGGCGCGCGTGCCCATAGAGAGGGCTCTGAGTGCCGCCTCTGTCACCGTGCTATAGGTTCGCTTCCACTGCTATAGATAGTTTTCTAATTCATTTCTTGGCTAAATAGAAATTGTGGTGGTTAATTCTGTTGTCTAGGGAATAGCATGACAAGGAAGGGAGCATGCTGCAGAAGGGAGAGAGAGGCATGCAACCCTTGAGTTGCCCCCCAAAGGCTTGACCATTCAGTAACAGTCTAGCCGTGTTATTCCTTTATATCTCTATATCAGAGTGCCTGCCATCTATTACTGTTAATTTGTCTGCCTTTATCCCAACAAAACAGGAATGATCTCTTGGACAAAGGACTGGCTAGCAATTCAGCTGCTGTTGCTGCTAAAAAAAACCCCATATGATTGTAAAGCGAATGCAGAGTTTGCTGCAGGATAAATTACAGGAATAAAGAGAGAATGAAAATCAAAGCAGCAATGCATAGGGATAGGAGGCAGTTGACATCTTTTAAGGCTGTAAACATGATCAGCTGATCCTTTCCTGAAATTCTGTAACTGAACAGAACGCACAAACTGCTCCGTGACTGTGACTGGATTTGTGACAGTGAAAGAAGAGAAAGCGTGAAACTTGCTAGACAATGAAACCCCAGCGTTATCCCCGAGACAGTGAAGCACACGGGGGCAAAAGAACTTCTTCCCTGCAGGGAAGGCGCTTTGGAGCTAAAACCAGAACACTAGAAATTTAGTTTACCCTGTGAGAGAGGAGAACAATACATCTCAACTGAACAAAGATATGCACGGGCTGTGAACAAGATATAATGTCTATATACAACGCAAGATTTGGACAGATTGTGCAGTCTCCCTTACACGCTACACTATCCATTCCTACATTCGGTCCACTTAGCAGGGAGACCTTTCTCAATTTCAAGACATTCCCATGATCAAAAATATCACCCAAGCCCAGCACACACAGCAGTCCACGAACTTTTACATATGAACTACATATTCAGCAGAGCCTCCTAGAGCAGTGGTTCTCAACCTTTTTAATGCCGCGACCCCCAACCGGTCGTAAGTCGAGGACTAAACCGGTCGTAAGTCGAGGACTAAACCGGTCGTAAGTCGGGGACTAAACCGGTCGTAAGTCGAGGACTTTCCCTGCCCGGGAGCGCCGTGCATGCGTGGCTCCGCCCCCTGCGCCGGCCGAGGCGTAGCTGGCAAGCGGCAGAGACGGAGCAGGCCGACCACCAGCTGGCCCAGCCCAAGGGAGGTAAGGCACCCGCCGGAAAAGGGGGAAAAATGGCGGGCAAAAAAAAATGGCGGACAGCCTTGCTTGGCGACCCCCGTGAAATGGTCGATCGACCCCAAATGGGGTCGCGACCCATAGGTTGAGAACCACTGTCCTAGAGCCTGTGGAAGCAGTTGTCAAGCCTATCAGACACAGAAACCAGGGGCCTCCTTCCAATAACGTCTGCTCAGCGTTCCTTTTTATCTCCAGCAGTGCTGTTTGGCTTCAAGTGGGTGGCAGCACATGCCAACCTGGGGAAGAATGCCACAAGGTCCTCCAGAGATACTTGCAGCTAGAACTGCTGACCTCTGGTGATTTAACAGCTTTATTATTGCTGTAGTTGCTTGTGTATTTTGTTTTCATTTCCACACTTTTCTGAAATACCTCGGTGCATACAAGTGCGCCAGTCCTTTGTCTACAGGGCAGTTTTTGTCTCGACTGGTGTCAACCTGAATTATGATTTTTATTTTCACTGTTCCTCAGCTGAATCTGAAATCAGCAAGGCCTACCCCTTAAGAAAGCAGCTGCACTAGCTCTATGGCTTGAAACCAAATACGTTCTGGGTATCACGAGCTATAAAAATAATCACTTCTATTAATAAAGCATTTCTGATTCACAGACCAAAGAATAAAAGCACAGCTGACATCACATTAGCTGATTACCCAATTCATGAGGAAGTTCATGACAAAACACCGCGATGGATGTGCTGATTCCTCCAGTTAAGCCAGCACTGAAAGCAGCTCCTGGAAAGGAGAGGGATGAGGGTAGAGGACCAAACAAAATAAAAAGTTTTTAATTGGTTAGCTTGACGAGGCTATTTTTACAGGAAACATCAGCGAGGATAAAGGCAGCATTCTTGGCTGAGAGATTGTCAGGTTAACTACAAAAGTAGTGGCTCAAACGCTCACGTTTTCACTTCAAACTATTGAAACAGTTCATGGGTCTATAATATCAGTGTTTCTCAACCTTGACAATTTTAAGGCATGTGGACTTCAACTCCCAGAATTCCACAGCCAGCAATGCTGGCTGTGGAATTCTGGGAGTTGAAGTCCACATGCCTTAAAATTGTCAAGGTTGAGAAACACTGGATATGCTAGAGAAAAAGGAGTTGCTCGGGAATTTGAGAGAACGGACTACTTTTTATAGGAGATCTTGAATATCATCAATAGGGAACCTTCCTGGTCTTGTACCAGAGGTGAGCATAAAATGGGGGGGGGGGGGATATTTGTTTGGAACTTACAAGGCTCCAAAGAACCATTTCGGACCCAACTCAGTTCAAGAAAACTGAATCTGGAAAACTTTGCTCCGGGCTTTGGATAACACAACATATTGACACAGGAGTCAAGATTTGCCCTTCCTCCAATCAACAGATCTCAGTTGGGCATGTTGCACTGCCCTGCCTGCCTACCTGCGCCTCCCCCCCCCCCCGAAGCAGGAAGATTACATCACAAAATGCATTTTATGAGCCCCTTTTGGAGTGAAGCAGCTATCGCAGGAAAACTTCCAGAGATATAGCAAGGGATCCATAATCAAGAACTCACAAAGAGAAAGTGGCATTTCTTAACATAACTGCATTCCTTCCCGGGGCCCGTATGAACTAGCAAATAATTTGTGGCTGCAAAGGAATAAAAGCCTTTGCTGCCTTGAAAAGGACTGAGGAAAATGAAGAGTAGGCCTTTATCTACTGAGGTGCTGCATAACCTGGCAGGAGAAATTAAAGGATACAGAGCCTTATTTAGCACCCCTCCTTCCCCTGATCAATCTCTCTTGTGTTCTTTTTCCTCTCTAAATCAGACACACGCTATCCCCGTTTCTTTTTCTCGCCGCAAGTTCATTTGTTGCAAAGAGCATCTCATCCAAGCCCATCCCATCCCATCTCCGAGCCTTTTGTTCTGCTTACCGATGGCCAAGCCGTCACTAAAATTGTGGATCCCATCTCCCATTATCACCATCCAGGCAATATTAGCTATTCCGGTGTCTTTTAAGTCTTTGCCGGAATGGCAGTGTCCATGAGAGTGATGGGAATGTTTATGTGGCCAGAGATGGTTGTGCTTCCTCGCTATTATTTTAACGTCTCGATGATTGCTCCCATATTCCACATCTGAAAGATTGTTGCTCTGGGCATTATGAGAGATGTCATTATGGGAGTGGAGCATCCGATTTTCTTCCTCAGTAGTAGACAGGAAGGCCTTTGGCAGAGAGTCAAGGTGGCCATCCAAATCTGTTAATTCAGTTTCATTAAGTCGATCATCAGACAGTACGGAATCATCTGCTCCTGAAGGGGATGAGCCCAAGAAATACGTACGTTAACAATGGATGACTAGGAAGTATTAATTAGGAGAGCAGTGCTGCCAATACCTAAATTAGCCTTTCCCAGGAATACTAAATGGAGATATTTTGGGGAGCAGCATAGCCTTATATCTGAGAGTCACGTTGCTGATCTTGATTACAACATAGAATATTGCTTAACCCACAGCTACGAACCCTTTATATTACATGGGGCAGGAGAGGGGGAAGAGAGGTGTTTTTATGTGAAATAGAAGAGATGGAACCAGAAAACCTAATGCACGCTAAGCGCAACATACTAAAATATATTTAATGCGTTTGCATGTACATAAAGATGTGGACACGAGAACACATGACATAAGAATATTTGTTCGTACAGCAGGGCAGGTCAAAAACCTATGTCTATGTGATCTTGTATATGTTGAGGTCAATTTTGAGCACATACATGTCAGGGAAATGTCCCAAATTCAGTTGTTTATATCTGAAAGTGAGGTAGAGAGAAAAAAATGCACCCAGAACTTGGACAGCTATAGATAACCAGGATAAACAATGCTAAAATCTGGTCCAATAATTCTTAAGTCTTCCATGGTTGTATAAGTGCTAATTTCCATATGGATATGGACTTAAATATAGAAGCTTATATGTATAAGCAGTCCTAACAGAGCACATTCTGACATTACCAAAGTAATGGGTGAGGAGCCTAGGGACAAGGTAAAACTATAGTTCAAGTTCCTAAACAAATCCTAACCTCAGAAGACACAAATAAGGTGATATCAATCAAAATGGCCCCACAAAATTATTAACACAACAGACCATATGCTTTAATCTTGAATCATATTTTGCAAAAACCATGATTTTCTATTTTGGCTTCTAGCTAACTATTAACTAGGATTCAATCATTGACAAGGATGCATTAGACACACACAGAGACCAAATGTATTAATTTCCTAATTTGTAAGTGAGATCATCCAAATGAGAAGCCGAACTGACAAACCAGTTCATAATAAGCTCCATTGTTTTTAGATTTGTAAAAATCCATACATTTGGTGAAAAATTAATCAAGAATTTTATTAAAGCACTGTCTTCCAAATATTACTTGAGCAAGATTCAAAAAATATTCTCCAATGCAGTATCTGCTCCAATAATATATATACATCATGTATATAATATACACATTATGTATATATTACACACACACATAATAAAAATACATAAATGAAGATTTAAATTTGATTGAACTGGGGAACATGTTAACATTTGTTGATTACATTTGCTTTATTAAATGACAGCAGATCTAAATATTATTCGCTAAATGCAGAAGAGTAAGTAAGCTGATAATCTGTATTAGCAACTGAGGTAAGATACGAAGGCTGCAGTGATAGTGCCACCTGGTCATAAATGAGATACCTGCTAGTGGCTTGAGTTGAAGCCAGTCAGCATCAGGTCTGTTTAGCTTATGATCTGAAAGTTTCCTTCCAATGGGCGATTCATCAACCTTTTGTTTTTTCTTACACCATTTCTGTTTTGTCTGAAAGAGACAAAAAGACCCAAGCTTTAGTTGACTATAAACCTTGAAGGCAAAGGGGAAAGGCCCATTAGAAAAACTGCCTGGAATAATACAAAGGAACACATTCCACTAAAGATCCTGAAATTGCTTAGTTTTAGAACCTTGTTGAAGCTAATTTAGGCAATTAGCAGAATCCACCTTTTTCAACAGAAATGTCTCGTTAAGAATGTTGTTGTGCTACTTGCCAATTCCACTTTCCGTCTTCTATTATTTTGTTCAAATGTATTTCATTAAACTATGCAATATCCTTTTGCTGTGACTCTTAGACACATTCACATCCTTAACCAGAGAAGAACTTCTTCTGTACTTGACACACAACATGGTGGCTATCTATCTCTATCTCTCTATCTCTCTATCAATAGATAGATAGATATAGATATGAGATTTGCACATTTATATACCCAGGATATCCACTGGTCTTTTCTTCTCTAGGCTCCCAGCCAAAATAGTTTGGGGAGGGGAGGACTAAATATCTAGAAATTATGTCCATGGATGTAATTGGCTGACGGTAAGGAGGCCGGTATATAGATTTACCTTTCAAACTCATGAATCTGTATGCACCAAAAAGTGGGGGGCAGTGTCTCTTCTATCTGTAAAATCAAGTAGCCTGTGTTTCTCACCATACAGAAATGCTTTTTCAGACAACAAAGGGCTACCCATTTTTCCATTGTCAATGGTATATTGCTTTGGATAGATAACTATAAAATAAGATTGTTACTTTTTTAAAAAAAATCGAACACCTAAACCAGGGGTGGGTAGTGGGCCGGATGCGTCATGTGGAAGCCGTGCCCACCCCATTACCGGCAATGGCAAAACTGTCCCGATACGTTGCGCGACGTCACGTGATGTTGCGAGTTTGACATGTCTGACCTAAACTGTTAATCCATCAACCTCTGAAATAATATCCAACAAATCTGGTCCCTTTCCAACAAGCTTCAGTGAGCAATAGTGGCGAATATCTGTAGTTCGGGTGTAGGATGAGGGTGCAGGTTCATTCTCCAAACTTGTGGGTTGGTTTCCAAACGTTTTGTTACCAGCCTAGGTAACATCTTCAGTTGAGTTTAGGGGATGTCAGTGTTGGTGTTCTTCTGTTTATAAGGGCTTCAGGTGTGGATGTGTCAAGTGAGGGTCTTGTGATGAGTCAGGTGAGTCAACTGTAGGTTGCCAAGTGCCCAGATCATCATGTGACCATGGGGACACTGCAATAGGTTCAACTACAAGGACCCACTATAAGTCCCCTTTGTTCAATGTCATGTAACTTTTAAGGCCAGAAAAAAAACAAGGCTGCCTTAAATGCTCTCAAGAAATATTATAAGGTAGTTCTTGTTTAGCGACCAGAATTGGGATCAGCAGCTTGATCGTTAAGCAACATGGTCACTAAATTAAACCAGAACTGTTGTTAGGATCTTACTTCACCTTTCCTTTGCTTTACAGACCTGCAATGTGAGGACTGTTTACAAGATTATTTTTTTCATCACTGTTATAACTGAATGGTCAATAAATGATGCAGTAACTAAACAAGGAGTACCTGTAGGCTGAATCAGATTTCAGTGTTTGAATCCAGATCTCTGCCTAACCCTCCAATATATTATTAGACCAAGTAAACTTGAGGGATGGAGATTTAATACAAAAAATAAGTTTGACAGATCCCTGTCAGATGAGCACAGTAAGAGCTAGCTGACTAGCTGAAATTATACTCGAGAACATATTCCTCCCACTCAATTTCTTTTACTGTACAATCTTATTATATCTCAGAAAGTAGGATTTGTCAAAACATACCCTTTGTTTCTTATAGTGTTTGTACATTCGTAGGCAGTGTTCAATAATGAACAAAAGGTAAATCCCTCCAAGGGCCACAAGTCCTTTCAGTACAGCATCATACTCTTCTAGGAAGTTCTGAACCGATCCTCCATGCTCATGGGAATGGCCATGCAGATGCTGGTGCTCGTGCTCGTGTTGATGCTCATGCTGGTGGCCCTGGTCTTCATGGTGGCTGTGATTGTGGGCTCCTTGGGACTAATGAACGGGAAAAGAAGATTGTTATGCACAAAACGTTTCCCAGTGGAAAGCCAAATCCAAATGATGTGAAATGATGCACTTCTTAGCTACAAAATAGTGCTATCAAGTGTCATTCTTATCCTTAAAAGCAAGCATGACAAAGATCAAATTGGTCTAATATTCTGTTCTCAGCCATGGTAAGTTAGGTGGTTCCTGACAGTTCAAAAACGAACTCATAAGCCAATACAAAATAATTTACGACTATATATGCCGATTCCAAATAACATCTTGGAGAAATGGTTTTGTGATGCTACAAGTGCACTCTCCTATTGTGAAGCCTTAAGGATTTATGAACAGATTCACCTGCAGATTTTGAGACAGCAAGACAGAATTATTCATTCAGTTGCTTGTTAGTTCAACTCTGCCTAACTTTTTCCAAACGTAGGAGGTTCAAAATTGGTTCTCGCCGACTGGCCTATATCCCCTATTTGTGGAATAGATATAACTCCTCCCTAGGCCTTTTGTTCACATCTTCCCAACTTTTCAAAAAGAAGCGAGATACACAAAACCTGACTTCCACTTAACAGGCATTGTTTTCAGTCTATCTACCCACCTCTGCTTGAAACAGATACTTCACAAGTGAAGCCATAAGCGCTAGAATGAGACTGAACGTACATGTGGTAGCAGATGAAGTAGTGCATCTCCGCTCATGGTTCCTACAGCGAGAGCAACCAGGAAGGTGAGGAGGAATTTGAAGCATCCCTGATTGATTATAGGAATCAAAATCACGCCTAGCAAAGACAACAAACTAATAACTGTGATAGAAATGAGGCCACAGATCCAGGCTGTGAAAAGAAGGGAAACACGAATTAGAAAACAATTCATAATAAATCAATAAAATTATAAACCCAATTATCAAAAGAAAACATTATTCAAAGGAAACCTGCTCAGCTAAAATATAACCATTGTATTGTCTATTTCAGGGGTAGGCAACCTCGGCTCTTTTATGACTCATGGACTTCAACTCCCAGAATTCCTGAGTCAGCTATGCTGACCTCAGGAATTCTGGGAGTTGAAGTCCATGAGTCATAAAAGAGCCGAGGTTGCTTACCCCTGGTCTATTTGAATAAAATACCATTATAATAATAAAATAACATTATGACTTATGCATTTTTCTAACAAATGCCGGCTATGTGGCAGATTTTTTAAAAAAACATATAGTCTATTAGATTAAATTATAATTTTATTTATAATAGTGAATAAATTACGTTTCATCTAAATGGGTTCATTGGAGTGCATTTCAATACTGTAAACAACACGGATCACGGACTGGTGGATCTATGTTATTTTCACTGTTTTCACTTACTGACCTCCTAAGGGCTTTGGGGTTTCTAGTACTGTATAGGAATTTCCCAGTAAAGACACATACAAGATGCCTTCTAGTGAGGCAAAAGTATAATCCGTGTTGTCAAATGTGTGAATTTCTCCTTTTTAACAAATATGCCTCTTGTATTAATGGCAATGTTGCTCTGCAGAATACCTTTTCCTTATATGTTAGCTCTCTCCAGAAAAAAGTGCAAATACGTGCATGAAATTCATCAAAATAGAACGCAATTGTCAAAACAGAATGCAATACAAGCGTTGTTGCTGGACGAAGGAAAGGAAAGGAAGAGAAAGCCAAGTGGAAGACAGATCTCACATAATTATTTATGAAGCAGGCGTAGATCGTATGGGGCTGCTGCCAAATATTACATGCTTCATTGTTCTTCCACTCACTTTGGAGAATGAATGAATACATTGGATCCTACATGTTATCGAAAATACATAAAAGACTTAGCCATTTCATTTGATGCCATCTAATGGGCAGCTCAAGTCTAAGTTTAGGCGCCAGTCTATATATTTATTTGATTTTTTTTTAAAAAAAAATCCAGCCTGTGTTACTTTATAAGTAACTCAAGGCGGTGAACATACCTAATTCTCCTCCTATTTTCCTCACAACAACCCTGTGAGGTGGGCTGGAATAAGAGAAAAAAGTGATTGACCTAAAGTCACCCAGCCACTTTTGTTTGATTGCCTTGAAAATTGCTTTCTTGTGCTGAAAAAAGAAAGTTGTCTCACAAAAGCTGAACGGTGGGAGAAGGGAACATACTTAATATATCTGAAGTGTAAAGTTCTACTTCTTGCTGCTCTGGCCTTTTTCTCCTAGAAAATCTGGGAAACAGTGGCCCAGTCTTTTTAAGGATTGAATTGTAAAGTTCATGAGTACAGCATCTTGATTTAACTAAATCGCCTAAGGGCAATTCTGCAGCTTTGGTTCAGCAGTAACACAAACATTAAGTGTAGAATGTAAATATAGTCTTATAAAGCACCTTTTGAATCAAAGCTATTTATATCTAGCAAGTTTATATTTATTTTCCCAAGATATATAGTGGGAACAACAAACTGTTTGCAAAGGAATGATGGAGTAAAAAGGGAGAGGAGGATGGTAAGAAAGATGTAAACATAGGGACCAAAGGAAAGAGGAGAGAGATGAAGCAGGAACACTACCGAAGGGTGGGGAAAAAAATTAGTATCAGGAAAAACTGATGTGACACCTCTGCAAATGAGAACACAAGGGATACTGAAGCACTATGTTAGTGCAGATTTTCCCAACTTGAAGCCTTTCAGATATGTTGACTGATAGCTGCCATCATTCCTCACCAGTAAGATCAATGGTCACACTGGCAGGAAATGCTGGGTCTGAAAGATCAACGTGCTTCAAGGGCATCAGATTACCAGAGCCTTACCTGTAATTTTGTTTTTAAACTAGCAGAACAGAACAATTTAAAGCAATCATTAGGAAACTGGAGAACTCTTTGTTTGTATCAAAGATCATCTTCTATGTCCAGAAGAGAAACCAGACAGGTTCTTGATTAGAATGGACAGGTGCCGCTCATATAAACTGAAGTATAATTTTATTTGTGCTCAGAAACACTAGCTACCTTTAAATAAACTGCCTCTGGTTCCCTCTCCCACCAAATTAGGTATCTTATGGTGTTGCAGGTGTTTGAGATTATTTATTTATCGGTTTTTCATCCCCTAATTAGAAAAACGCTTCTTTCAAAAAAGAAGCAGTTATCAATGGAAACTTTCTAATTAGCTTGGTTTAAAGACATATGCAGGCTAACAGGTTTTCTTGGTATTTTTTTAAGGATACACAAAGTCACTTTTGACATTTTAATTGACAGAAAACGCTTAGCAACCTTTCTATAAACTCTACTGGCAATTAAACTAGGGTCAAATCTGGTTAAAACAAGACTACCCGGAGAAAAGAATTATTTGCTAACAAATTCAGTGTAAAGACTATTTAGTGTTATGAATCTTTGAATAAAGTTAGCAAGAGAGGAGCTGATGCATCACTACAAGAGATTTATATACAACATGTTACATTTTCATAATGATGTTGCAGTCATTAAAAATAATTACCCGATCATTTTTTTCTGACAATTATTAATATATATCCACACATACTCATTTGGTGTTTTATTTCAGAGAACGCTAATAAACATCTGCAAAACTAATCAACACTCATTATTAACAACGCTTGTTACTTTCAAAGGAAGAGCAATCCTCTCCAAGCTTTTTCTACAGCTGCAACATTTGTGCCAGCTTTAAAACAAAATGTTATTATTCATCATTTGACAGTTTCATGGGAATCTATGAATATCTATGCGGAGAAAGGTCCACATATAAAATGCCTCTTTAAAAAACCAATAGTGTTTTAACTTCACCATTATCAAGCAACCTATCTATCAATTTCAAGCATCCACTGCACATAAATGCCATCTCCAGTGTCTGTGGGCTTTCTCAGATTAATCTTGTATCTTCCTGGGGTGTCAAAAGATGTTCATGGTTCAGGTCGTTTTCGGAATACAATGGACAAGCCAAACTGCAATTTTTACAACTTTGTTCTTGGCTTCTATGGCCTGGTTTCAATGGCCATAATCGGGGAGAGGGTATCACCTCTCCTTTGAACCTCTTCCTTATTCCATGGGGTTGAAATAATGGGACTACCTTTAAGGAGAGCTTTCTACTAAACAACATGGGTGCAACCAACCTTGTCCATTTTTTTAAAATGTTCTTAAGACTAATTGCCCTTGTAGCACATAAAGCTTTTAGCATTTTGAGGCAGTGGGCATATTTGCAATGTTGAGAATATGACATACATGTGGCCAATCAGAAACCAGGCCCTTAAATGAAAGTAGAGGCTGTTCTCTGCCACCCCATCTAATCTCCAAAGACATCCATTCTCAACTCTGTTTATTTCTATCTTTCTTTTTTTCTTTCCTGGACCAGTTCAACAGATTTTCAAATATAGTATTTGACTGCAACTCCTGATCAATTATCTTTTAGGAATGCTTCGGGGATACAAAATGGGGCTCAAAGCATTATTGGGCACAAAAATAAAGTACAAGGATGAAGTTGCACTTTGTAGCATGCCAGATTTCCATTTAAATGTTTTCAGTTAGAATTTTTTTTTTTTTAAGGAATATAAAATGGAGAACGGAGCCTTCAGTCCCAACAAAAATATCTGCCTGGGACTAAGAGGTGATGCCCACAAAATTACTCTTCCTTCTTCAATAGAAGGTGTGCTACACACGGGTTCATCATAAGTGATTTTTACCAGGTCCATACAAAACAAAATAAACATGCATTTGCATGCAGGAAATCTTATTTTATAACAAAGCCACAGGCCATCCCCAAGTGGCTTCCTTAGGCAGACATTTAACTTCAGGAATTCCATGTCTGCCCCTTAGCCAGAGATTAATAAATAAAGCCTCAGGTTTTGAGGTATGGTTGCTTTTGTACAAAAGGCTATATACTATAATTGTACTTATTTATAATAGGGAATACTCCGAATGACTCTGCAAATAGGCAACAATGGGTGTTCTAGGAGCTGTCACAATTTGGACTGCTCATGTTATCAAAGAGTAATTGGAAGTCTAAAAAAAAAACCAGACAGGGAATTAATACTGCCCAGTTGCCTTGAAGATCAATATAAGCAACAAAATGGGATTCAACCAGTGGATACAATATGTGAAGAATGATGACTCTAGGAACTTAAATGGATTTCCCAAACAAACAACAGAGTAGGCTGCTTCTATTATTGAACTGGCCTGACCACGTTAAGGAGATTTTTGTGAGGCTATTTACATCCAATGAAATTACATTAACTAATCTGAAAATCCGCAAATCTTTCAGTCTACTTTCTTCCTCACCTGAGGCACCCGTTTTCTCCACATTCCCGAGAGATACATTGTTTCCTTTGTTCAAGTCTTCGAGATGCAGGTCTTCATAATGTTCAATACAAAGTCGCTTATCAATCTGATACAGCAATGCAGGGCACAGGTAAGTAAACAAGCTGGGAGAAATTGGAGAACTGGGGTGAAGGCCATAATGGCTTAGCAGCTGTGTGACATTTAAGCACTGCAAACAAAATTAGGAAGAAAACAATTAAGCAGCTCCCACCGTTAAAGGCTTACTTAACTACTTAAGTCTCGTAAAATTACACGGTCTCTTCTGTCATTTGAACTGCTACCTAGCCCATGAACCATCACATATTGAAGGGGCTGGGAACATGAAATGTTGAGTCAACTATCTACCGTTGTTTTCTGGAGGGGAAATAGGGAGAATTTATTCGTTACATCTACTGAGAATTTTAAAAAATTACACCTACATTCAAAAAACATTTATGCATATTAAAATCCTTCCTGGGAACGGTATAAACAGTATTTCATCATTAGCTACAGAAATGACATTTCATTTTAACCAGCCATGGATGATTAAAATATTTGCCTTGCATGTTTTAAAAAGCATACAAGATTAAGAAATTAATCAGTTCATCAAGGAAGAAATTACAAAAATCTATTGGTCCTATAAACAAATAAAAAATACCTTGGCTTTATCCTGGGATAACCTAAATAGCTACATAAATAACCATTTTCCTCCTTTAGTCGTGCTCAATAATGCCCTATAAAACAAGTATCTATCTATAAGTCCTTAGCTATATAAACCCCCTTTTATTCAATTATGTCCAATTCTTGGAGACTGACTGGTCAAGTCCTTGCAGTTTTCTTGGCAAGGTTTTTCAGAAGTTGTTTGTCTTTGCCTGCTTCCTAGGACTGAGAGAAAGTTGGGTGGCCCAAGGTCACCCAACTGGCTTTGTGCCGAAGGCAGGGCTAGAACTCCGTCTCCCGCTTTCTAGTTTGATACCTTCACCCCTACGCCAAACTGACTCTCTAGTTCAGGGATCCCCAACCCCCGGTCCATGGACCAGTACTGGGCTGCGGCATGCCAGCAACTGGTCTGCACAAACAAGCAAAGCCCCATCCATTGGATGCAGGCAGCACACAAAACCATGCACCCTACGGTCCATGAAAAAACCTTTCTCCATGGAACCGGTCCCTGGTGCCCAAAAGGTTGGGGACCTCTGCTCTAGTTCTTCCTTAGCTACACACAGCTATATAGAATTGCAACTTTTAAAATGTGTAAGTCAGCACAACAGCTGGCTCTGATGGGCAAAAAGGTGGGGAAGGCTACTTTTTCTTAAAGATACATAATGTTCTTTTCGGGCTCATACAGACCTCTTCAGAAGAGTGCTCATCTTCATTATGGTTCTTGTGATTAGTATGCTTCCCCACGCTGATTTGTTTATCAGGTGCCTCTCGCTTGCTGGTATGTCGATACCCATCCCCGCTAGCAGGGTTTGGGTCTTGATGTCCATGAGTAGCTGAATGATCATTATTGTGTTCATGAAAACGTGCATGTGAGAAAGACACATCATGCACATGGTCATGTTTGTGGACATGATTATGTTCATATTGCTCATTTGAGTCATGATTGAGAGTAAAATCTTGTGCTGTAACTCTTGAAACTTCCCTGTTCTTCATTTTCCGCCATTTCTTAGGGTGCTTATGTAGTTTTCTTTCAGGCTGTTCCTGAGTAGTATTGGTCTCTGTGGAAGGCTCATGACTTGGTTCCCCGTGATCACTGGTGTTAATGGAATCATTATGAGACTGATGGGTATTGTTATGGTCCATGTGGCGATGTGCATGGCGGCGGTGGTGATGCTTGTGGTGTCTGTGATTATTAGAATCATGAGCAGGTCTACCATCAGGCTTCAAAGATGATTCTGTAACTTCTGTCACCGGATCACACTTCTGGCTCCTTTTGCTAGACCCTTCGTTTGCAGTCTGATTTTCTGAGCTTGGGTGATTATGGGAATGAGGATGGTTGTGGGAATGAGAATGCTTTCCTTCTTGTGTATCTAGTACATCTAAGTAAGAAACATAATCGTGGCCAATGTCCTCATGATTTATTTCTACTATTTTAATTTCTCCGAGGCCAAGGCTCATCATCAATTTCTCCAGGCCACAAAACGACAATTTTCCATTCTCACCATAACGATTAAAGAGTTTTTCAATGTAGTATTTCTGTTTAACTTCAGCTTCCTTACTTGGTTCGGGCTCGGTCCTTTCGTTTTCCGAGATTTGACAGTCATTGTGGCTATGTTCACCTTCATGGCAATGGTGACATTGGTGGAAGACAAATGTCAGCAAACAAATGAGGCAAAATTGTGTGTGCCTATGAACCTTCATTTCTGTTTTCTGCAAGGAAAGAAAAAGGAAAGCTCCATCTGTTAATTTCTTTTGGGGTGTTGCTGAATTACCTGCAGCAATAAATGCAGTTTAAAGTGATAGGAAGTACAGTTATTAATTAAAAAAAACTTTTTAGAATAAACACGTAAGCACCTATGTAAGCTGCATATAGGAAAGACCATGAAACTTTAATCAAAAATATAAAAGTAATCTTACCAATAATTACATTTTAACAGATTTATTTGTAAATCAAACAGTTATCGCTATGCCTATACAATTTCTTGGCCACTGTCAAAAAGCAAATGGAAGGTATAGTCAAATTGGAAAAGTACATTCAAATTCCTATTTATGTATGGAAAAATAATGTTTTCAAATTTCTGTATAATATATTAGCTAGCCACCAATTTCTTTAGTGTCATATATACTTATGTTCAAATTAGAAAAAAATGAAATAAGAGAGAAATTTTTTGTTTTATTTAATTAAATGTCTTTGGGGTGAAAAGCATTTTCCAAAGAGCTCATTTTTCTTATTAAAATGTCCATTCATTAGAAGACTGCCTTAAGACATCCAGGAGTAATTAAAAAAACTAGCATCTGTTTTTTTAATATATGAACACATTAAGAAACATGCCCATCTTAAGTAGAATATTTTGAACAGAATGTCTTTTTCAAACGTAATTACAAATTGCAGGTCATTGATTTTGTTCTATTTTTTGTATATATAAAATTAGAGCCCATTAACCTCATGGATGTCCTGCTCTGGCAATGTAAGCTATACAAGCTGACATTTGTTCAAGCAAAGAAGCTGAGGTAAATTTTAAACTGATGATTTACAATGGATCTTGTAAAGCTGTGAGAGAGCAGGCTGTTCAGAAAATTGCCAGAACTGGTGCTGGTTTCTTCCCCACAACTCCCTCACCCGTGAATTTATAGTAGTTTTTCCAGCTCAGGATTTTTTTTGTCTTGGGAACGGCTGGAAGAATGACCTGAGAAACTAAGCCATAAGCAGCAAAAGGATTTAAATCAAAATAAAATAATTATTACTTTTTATTCAACCCTTCATCTAGTGCTAAAGCTGCATGGTGATCCTGCATGATAAAATTTTGCTGATATCGAGTGACTTTTTCACAGCCACACATAAACTTGACATTTTAAATATGCTTTCTAGAATTGCACTTATTGAGGAATTTTGCATATAAAAAAGACAATTTGCTTAATCAACAATAGGTTAGGCAATCCATTTTATGTCATAATCATTAGTCTAACAAATCAATCCACCTTTCCTTACGACCCAAGAGTTATATGTAGAGGTATGTATGTATATGTGTGTGTATATTATATACATAGTGTTCTATTTGCAAAAACTGCCAAGAAATGGAGATATGTCAGCCCTCCAAGATAGACCAAACATGGAAAACAAATGCATGCAAGTTAATACTACTTTTATTTTGTTAAGAATAACAGAATCTTGTAAGTCTGAATGCACTTCCCCACTTCTTCCGTTTATCTTCATAAGAAAAAGGTCATGTCTGAGATGCCTTTTCAAATTTATATTTCTATTCCAGATTCAGATTTCTTTTATCTGATTGTTGTCTTGGTTGTGGCTGCGCTCCTCTTCCTCAAGGTTATTTCTTCTGCCAATTACAGAGTGATTGTAATATGAATAGGAGAATATACAAAAAGTGCAGATCACAGAGCAAATCTCTAGGCTTATCTGAGTACGATGCAAAATTACGGACTTAGTCTTTTGCAGTCACACAAGTGCTCATCATGCTAAATAAAACCGGGTCTAACTATGTGTAGAATAGAATGAGTCCATGCCATAAATGTTTTAAAAAATCCAATGAGAGGCTCTGAAATAAATCTAAGCCAGGTACATGCATAAGTATAACATTTCAAAGGTCATAAATGTTAGCTTCTTGTTCCTTCTGGTGGCCTAAAAAAAGCTTGACATCATAGGACAATCTAAATTATATGCCACATGTAAATTAGTCATGCAAGTAATTTTACAAAATTACATGAAAGAAAGTAGCCTGGGTTCCATAATAGTTGGGAAAGACAAGAAGTCTTATGTATGGGCTACAGAAAAATGTAAGCTTCTGGCTTTTAAAAATAGATTGAAAACACAGCAGTAATTTTCATCAAGTGGCTTGGCAAACAACAGACAGTTTTCTCGCCTCTACTTTTTTGAGATAGTCATAGAGAAAATGATACCAAATTGACTGATGGAGAGATGAGAAGTTCCATCCTTCCTCCATTAGACTTAGCATGGAGAATTCTCAAAGTTTTAAGTGGAAGAAGGAAGTTTTTGTTGATGTGTATTTATTTAGGCTAAAATCAAAGAGATTAAAATGGATTAAGAACAATTCTGTCAGGGTTGTTTAATGTCAATGGAATCCTACCTTGCATGGGCTGAATTAGATAACTGCTCAAGCTTCTCCCTTCCAGGGGTCACCCTATGACTGAGGTAAAAGCTATTTCTGAATACGGTATAAGATAAATATCAAACTAGTAGCATCACTCTGATCTGCCTTATCTTACAGCATAAGATCAGATATCAGGAATTCTGCACAAGTTATTCTCAGCAAGTAAAGGAACAGGACAGATTCCTTTCCTTACAATCTCTTCTGTCCCAGGGCAGGTCTATTATCTGAAAGTCACCTATTGCAACACAAAGATTAAACAAGGCCAAAGGGAGAGCAATGTTTGTGAAAGAGAGGACTTTGAATTAACTAATGAAATAGAAAACTCAAAAATACCATGGCCCTGAGGTTGCCAATTTGAGCTCTAGTTTGAAATTTTTGCAAATTTAAGTATAAAAAATTTAGAATTGCTTTGGAATTTATTAAACGTACCTTATGATCATCAATAGATGCTAAGCCAATAGATGAGCCATGGGGGCACAGTGGTTAGAATGCAGTATTGAAGGCTAGTTCAGCTCACTGCCAGGAGTTCGATCCTGACCGGCTCAAGGTTGACTCAGCTTTCCATCCTTCCGAGATCAATAAAATGAGGACCCAGCTTGTTGGGGGCAATATGCTGACTCTGTAAACCACTCAGAGAGTGCTGTAAAGCACTGTGAAATGGTATATAAGTCTAAGTGCTATTGCTGTGCAAAGATTGTAATTTAAGAAAAAATTATAAAACATAAAAGCTAACAAATTGTAAATGTTATGGAATAAAAACTTCCACTTAAATAAGCCTATTTAAACAAAAGTATCCTTTTTTACATAAAAAAGGAAAAACAATTTTAAACAGAAATTGTTATGGTCTTGCAATGCACTTTTACTACACAATATTAATTAAATGCAAAGTTATCTTAATTTGTGAACAGTCCAGAGAGAGAGACGTATATTGCTAAGAGGACTCTGAAATGCAAACACGTTTTTTGGTCACATTCTTCAATGCTCACCAACATACTAATTGAATGAAGACTTTTAGGGATCTATCTAGGGATATTTGCACATATATTTGCACAGACATCCTTTAGGTATACCATGATATATGCAGCACAAAAATTGTTTTAAAACATAGATTTTGATGGCTTGGTCATCAAAATGCTATATATTAAAGTAATTGCATTTTTCTTGAAAATAGTTTTTTTAGTGTGCAATAATTCTAGCAATTATATACACTAACGTTTGAAAATTTGGATCCTTCATTATAACAATAATTAGATGACCCTGCTTTTTCCCTATAACAGAAGGGTCCCCAACTTGCGCGCACGCCCCCTCACTTGTGCGGGGCACAAAAACAGGATGCCACGCCACAGGGCGTAAAAACGGGCCGCCGCTGCGCCTCAGGGTGCAAAAATGGGCCGCCACTGCACTGTGGGATGTGAAAACGGGGCACTGCCGCACTGCAGGACACAAAAACAGGCTGTCGCCACGCTGCAAGATGCAAAAAGGGATGCCACCATGCCGCGGGATGTGGAAACGGGCTGCTGCCGCATGGCACAAGAACGAGGCACTCTGCCATGCAAGAATGGGGTAGATTTAGCAAGTATCATGCTAATCCTGGTCCGTTTGTGGTGCGCTTGTGTGCTCATGGCCCTATGCACATGCACGCATGTAAAATGCTTCCCCCTCCCTTTTCCTCCAGTCCGTCAACCAACAAAGGTTGGTGACCTCTGCTGTAACATACACAAATCGTCCTTTTGTGAAGTCTAGTATAACCAATTCTAAAGCATAAATGAAAAGTATAGAAACCTGACCGCTTTACAGTTCTTAAGTTACCTTTCAGACTGAAGTGTCAAGAATGGAGGACCCAGTTCAATAAAATGCTATAATAATTCGTTCAGGACATGAAGCTCGGTATTCCTCTAAGTTGTAATCTAAGGATACTATCTGGATCAGAAGCAGAAAAGGTACTTTGGAGGGGGTGTAGGCATACTCATTGCACCTGAAAGTGCCTCCTTAAAGCCATGACATCATTTCCTTGGTAGTGTAGGATGCCTGAAAGGGCATGTTTGTTAAGGAGAAGCCACAGGTGCAACAAGGATGACCTTGCCTTCTCTGAAGCACCCTTCCTGTTTTGGATTCTATCAGCTGCACAGCACTCTTGTAAGCCACCAGAAATTCAACTCAAGCCATCACAGTGAAAACCTTTAAAATAATATTAGCTAAAAAAAGATTAGCATCCAATTGCTAATCCTCAATATGAAAGTAGGGTAGCCATAAACCTCGGCTGTCAACTCTTGAGGAAAATTTCACTGAAAAACATGGCAAACCACCAAATACATTAATCATTGCCAATGTAAGGGCAATTAAAAAAAAAAACTTGAGATGTGTTTGTCCTTCTTCCTTTTAAAAAAAGTTCCCATCTTTTCCCATCCTGTCAAGATCCTAACCTGATTTTGCATACTTATTAATTGTTCTTTTATCAAGTAAAAAGCAATGTCGGAAATATTGTCAGCTAATCAATCTAGGAACGCAAGACCAAATTATTGATGAATGTGGCACCATAAATTTCCCTTTGAATCCAGAGAGCAAAACTCACTGATGAGAGTCAGCATGTAAAACTGACTTGGTCAGTTTGGAACCATAAACACAGATGGGAAAACAGACACATTATCTATATTGATATTACATGGTAATATTGTTTGCCACTAAATTATTCAAAATAAATATTCACAGAATTAATATCTCTTATAATACAAAAAGTTTTGCTTAAATATTTTCTTTCAAAACAGCAAGCTGTTGATCTATTTCAACTTCTAAGCTATGGGTCCAAAGGGTAAATCAGAAGCTGCTCTGAATACTCACATTTTTCGGTAGTCTTTATTTCAGCAGAAATGTATTTAGTTGCTTAAAAAAAGAAAATGACTCAAAATTTAATTCCATATGAACACATTAACATTCTTTCACTGATATCTGAATTTACACACTTCTATCAAATGTGGAGGTTTGCATCCCACAGATAACTTATCTGGCAGCCTTTTGTACGCACTGAAGATTTTTTTTGCTAACTTAAGATAAATGCATTACATAAAAAGGAATGCGGATTTTTGAGTTATTCTTTTTAATGGGATGTGTGCGAGGGGCCGGGATGGGGGAGAACAATAGGGTAGTTCATCTTTGTACAGTATATCAAAACTAAATTAAAATTTATAAGCAATTTTTGTTTTTCCATCAGAAAATAGAGAACCGTTTCCATGGTTTGCTGCTGAAATCCTGCAGTGTGTGATTTCTGTGGAATGCATATATGGAATGTGTATGAATACAGGTTACCCACTTTTGAACTGGCTCTTCAAACAGCAGTATTGCCAGAATTTTTCCCCAGCCTTTCCTTGGAAGCAATTCAGTGCTTAAATCTTGCTTTTTAAGGAGGAATATATGACCTCTGAGTGCTGCAATTAACTATGTTAGTACAAATTCGATGATACACGCATTTACCATTAAGAAACTGAGCAGTTATCAAATAACTAGAATATAAAATTTCAAAAGAAAATGTGGCTCACAATGCTACATGTCTGACATCATCATATCAAATTAAAAATTCCAGTAAGTGATTTTGCTCAGAGTCCTTCCTCAATGTAAAGAAAGTGCCTTCTTCAATGTAAAAAAAAAAATTAGTTTTGCAATTTGATCATGCATGCAGACATCATTTTTATATAAATAAATTGTAGAGCATTGAGGACTTTGTGGGCTGCATCGCTGGGTTTTTTTTTTTAATGGTCTCACCGGAGTCGAAATAAAGCACTCCCACTATCAATTTTTACTGTCCCATCCACCTTATTGTGCCAGCAAACAGTCTCTTCAGAGAATGTAAAAAAAGCTTTTGAACACTTATGACCAAACTTTTGAAGCTGCAATAACAGGAAGATATAACAATCATTAGGAGTAAACTTCAAACAAGGCATGAGGTTTTATATTATTTCCCCCCCCCCCAAAAAAAACCCACCCCTCCTGTCTTCTTAAGGTCTCCTAAGAAATGGCTTAGTTAGTATATCTGGATTATCTTCCTCCCTGCAGAATGCTCTTTGAAGATCACAGGGAAGATCAGGAGAGGGAAACAAAAATTTCTAGGATAACAAATTTGCTTGTCACTTGTCAAACTGATACGACACCATGTGATAAAATATATAATGGCTTTATCTAGTTGCCAATCAGATTGGTTTACTTGTCAATGCATTTACCCATGCATTTCTTGACAGATATAACAAAATAAGAAACTGGATATAAATCACCGTTCTTTGTTTTTAAATCTAATTGCACATAATTTAGTAGGTCTTAATCATTAGTGGACAGCATATATATTTATAAATGTATCCACTGTTTTCTATAAATAAATTTTAAAGGCTTCACTTAATTTCTGGATAACTTCATAATCAAAGTCAAATAAACATTCTTCAATGACTTACTGTAAGTATGCATACCTATGGATAGATCCATAAACTTTACAATATTCAGAGAAATTAGTTTTCAGAATACATTTAACAGTGGCATTTTAAAATATAATTTAGAATATTGGGATCACAGATGAAAACATAATATAAAACTAAAGAAATCAAAACTGTTTTTATTTTTCCCCAATGTATAATTTAATGAAATGTAAAATGATGATTGGAACAATATTTATTTACTTGAAGTATATTTAGGTATATACAGTATATATACTTACTCTATTTCTGGTTTGTTAAAACATTTATGTTTTAATCCTTCTCAGAGTATAAAGCTATATATTAGCTTATTTACCTTGCTAACAGTATTTCTGCACTTTAATATTCTGGATCAATTTATACATTCATCAGAAATCACTTCAGGAGGATTTTTACCTAAAGTGACCAAATATGAAGAGCAAGCTCACAGGATTTCAAATTTCTGCTTACTGTAGTTTTTAACTATAATTCATAATATGCGGCTATACATTTAAGCTTTAATATGGATTATGAGCATGCATCACAATAAAACTTGCAAGAGAATATGATTATATTACAACAAAACCTGTACTGATGTTGACTCCTAGCAACCACACATTAGATTTATATACAGGTAATTCTCGACTTATGACCACGATTGAACCCAAAATTTCTATTGCTAAGGGAGACATTTGTTAAGTGAGTTTTGCCCCATTTTACGACCTTTCTCGCCACAGTTGTTACTGCAGATGTTAAGTTAGTAAAATGGTGGTTAAGTGAATCTGGCTTCCCCGTTGACTTTGTCAGAAAGTTGCAAGAGGTGATCACATGACCCTGGGACACTGCAATAGGAGTCAGGTGCCAAGCGTCTCGATTTTGGTCATGTGACCATGGGGAGGCTGTAATGGTTGTGTGAAAAATGGATCATGTCACTTTTTTCAGTGTCATAACTTTGAACAGTCACTAAATGAACTGTTGTACGTTGAGGACTACCTATATATAGATAAAATACTAACCTAATAACTTTTGAAGGCAGAGAATGTTTTTTTTTACATGACTATCCAAGGAACCTAATATTAAATCAGTATGTGCTTATGCACGCTACTCACATTTTTCGCTGTAAACTAGACACTACTATTCCAAATATGGTCTAAAGCACAACTTAGAAACTACAAAAAAACCAGTTAATCCAAGGAAGTCATTTAAACATAGATGTAGTTTATCTACTCAGTTTCATGTACAAGTCTTTTATTCCTTATTTCAAGTATCAACATTCACCCAACTACTTCTATCTTATTAAACACTTCCAAGAGCCAGAACAATAGAGAAGGTACTATTATCAATTCTCCAACCATAACTATCACCCAATTTTTATTTAAAATAATTGGAGCTAAAGCTGAGAAAAACTATATACTTCTTAACCGTGTGGGGCAGAAAAAGAAGGAACCCCAAAATAAATATTATTTCTACTTCCTCTGAACTTGTCAGTAGTTAGGAACCCAGGACTACAAATGAATAACCAATATTGTACATAGGCTAAAAAGCAATTATACTGATTTATTTTCTTGTCTTGAGAAATTAATAGCTGAATTACACTGCAAGGTATGGTGAAAGAGAAGTGTCTTCCCCAACAGCTAACATGAAAATGCAGGCAATTAACTTCAGCTTTTTAAAAATGCCATTTACAAAATGTAATGGCAGGAAAATGCATGAATATCCCTCTTTCAACTTGCTCATTCACACTTACCTTCTATAGCAACCACACAAGCTGTTAAAAATGACTGTTGCCAACCACTCTTGAAAAAAACATTTACCTTTCTATTTCTATACCTAATTGGCAAACGTAATTTTGCCAACAACTATCCAGTCTTAGAAAAGTTAACAACGGAGAAAGCCACTCATTCATTTAAACAAGGTAAATTAGCAAAAATCATTATCTATTTTGCATTGCAATTCTCAAATTCAAAGCTAAAGTAGTAATTCTGTGCACACTTACCTAGGAGTAAATTCTACACTCCGTATGATTTATTTTAGAATACACATGATCAGCTTTAAGCCTAACTAACTCGTTATGACTCACTTATTTTCACAAGCATTTATCATATCCTACATTCTGAAACCACAAAACATCAATGTGTCAGATTCTAATTTCACATCTTAACTGCTTATCTTGCATGATAGCATCTAAGGAAATATAGCAGTGGAGCAGGGAGTTAATAGATTCTTACCAACACATTGAACATCCTAGGGCTCCTTCCCTGGCCTGGCATTTCCAGATGGTTACACCTGTTTTCCAACATTTCCATCTAGAAATGATGAATTTTCAGCAAATCCTTTATTATAGCCTTGATTTCTAATTTGTGATATTTGATTATATTGTATATAAATTGAATTTTCTAGGAACACAATTATTAAAAACTAAATATAAGATTTTAGTCCTCATAACCTTTTAACCCTATAAACTACCTTAATGATAATATTCTTCATATATATATAAAAAACCAATGATCTTTCAAAGGAGTTTCCACACTACTGTATTTTCACATTGGCAAAGCAATTCTTTGTTCAGCTTCTGTCTCAACAGTTTTGATAGATTAACATAACAAAACCCAAAAGTTCATAATTATTCCTGAATGTGCATAAAATTATTTCCTATTGTAAACTACTGGAATATTTACATTTTCCTGTTCTATTTCCTGGCAAGCCCTCTTTTGGAGACCCCCCCCCTTGCCTGATATGCCTTAATTCTGACAAAGCAGACAACTGGAGAAGGAAACCAAGATGTATTATCTTACATTAGAAACAGTAGCTTCCTTGTTTGACTTGTCTAACATAAGTAAAACGAAGCATCACCAAGCATAAGGACATGTCACTGATTTCTACCAACTATAGAAATCTGTTACTGAGGATCTTGAGGATATATACTTAACATTGAACTTGGACATCCTGGTTTGTCATCTCAAACTAGGATGTCCAGTCCTAAGAACAACAATCTTTGCTGGAGAGGAGCAAACATTTAATCTGCTGGTCCCTAAAATATCCACTTGTCTAAATAGACAAGGCATACATTTAAAGAACACACAAGTTCAATATTACTCTAGTTGCATTTTCTTCTACCTTTTCCCTTGCAATACTTTCTCTTAAGGAAGACCAGCAATATTTGAATCTTTTTTTGAAATAAAGTGCCAGTTTTTTTTTTTAATAAATACCAAAATCATGGACAGAATTGTTCTAAATCTTCAGGCTAAAATGCTAATGCAGACATGGCAAACCCGCGACGTCACGTGATTTCGCGCAACATTGCCGGCAATGGGGTGGGCGCAGCTTCCGGATGACGTGTCCAGCCCGCGGACCGGCAGTTTGAGACCCCTGTGCTAAGGTCTTCTCTCTATAGTTGTTACAGGTTGCAGCTCAGCTCGCTTGCATTATCTAACAAAGTACAGTATAAGGAAGCATTTGCTTCCTTGTTTGAATTATCTAACAAAAGCATAAGGAAGCATCAGCGATAGGGGCATGTCACTGATTTGTGCCAACTATAGAAATCTGTGGGACTGCAAATTTGAACTTTCCATAAACAGATGTCATCTGAAACTAGGATGTTCTGTCCTAAGAGTAACAAAAGCTTAGAGGCATTTAAAATGCAAATGTTAGCTTTAGCCAAGTAACCAACTTACTAAGATGCTTGTTTTCAAGAGATAATCCTCAAATACTGTAAAATATATTCCAGAATATATATGAGAAATGTGAATTTATCCTAATCCTTTTTCAGTTTTTTTTTTAGCAACAATAGCTTTTTAAGAGATAAAATATGCAGCTTTTTTCAAATCAACGTCTCACTTTTTAAGTCACTTAATCTACCGTATTTTTTAGCATGGGCATATGTACAAACATAACAGGAATGTTAAAATTACAAATGAGAAATATTTTAGTACACATTGTATGAGCAAAATCCTGCTCATCCAAGAAAAGCTCCCATCAGTGTCTTGTTTCCCAACTGCAAATCTGTTGGAGAATCTCAAAACTAAACTTCAAGAGCAGGTGGGAGCAGAGATGATAAATAAGAATTCACACCATCATTGATTTAAATCCATTTGAGTAAATTTTATGGAACTCGGCAGGGCTTGTATTGAATAGATTAAGCATGTGATTGTGCTAAAAACTATAAGCCAAAGGAAACCAAGTGGAAATGTGTAAAAATGTAATAAAATGCTTCTGAAAGAATTGCATCATTTCTGCCTAAAAGTTTTACTTATCAAGTCCTGTTTTATTGAAATGTGAGGTAAAACTCATTCACACAGGTATGCACATCATTTGATTTCAGATAAAAGAATTAACTTCACTGAAAAGCATGGTTTGATGTATGAGGTAATAAAAACGCAACAGCTACTTCTCAAATATAATGAAGTTATGACTTGATGTTGTAGTTGTATTCTTCATGCTGTAAGAATGAATGCTAACTACAGCTGCTGCACCCAGTCCTAATCAATGCTTCTGTTCACCTATATTGTGATGATCTAGGGCTAGGCAATATGTTGGCTTGTTTATTTACATATAAAGAACCCTACTGGCAAAAAGCTTGCACCAAGTTTCTATGCTTAAAAAAGAAGAGACAATTTATCCCTTTGTCAAAGAAACTTTATTTCGATCATACAATTCAAAAACAATTACTCAAAATTGACTTTTGACAAATTTGGAAATCTTTGAAAATATTTATGAACTTATTTCAAATCTCACTAACATTATTTCAGCCCTTAAAATAAAAACAAATATTGCTATTTTTAAAATAAAAATAGACATTTTTCTTACACATTTATGATAAACATGGTTTAATTTCAAAGTACTTAAGAGTAGAATGATCAAAAATAATTATGTCAACTTTTCAAAAATAGTTAAATTGATGTTAAAGAGATTGCAGAGTAAGTCTTGACAATCTGATCAACTATGAGAAATTGACACTCTGAAATGTTGCACTCATTTTCAAAGGATTAAGCCTTCAATTATTTACCATTTTAGCCACAGACTTGCAATAATATTATCAGTATTGCAAAACATTATCATGTCTTGGCTGTGTTTTCATTCCTAGTTGTACAAATCGATTTTGTTCAAATTCAGTTTTCTCATTTTTTTAAAAAATAAGAAAGTTTGCTGTTTCTCCAAAAATAATTTTTCTAATGCATTTTAAATTGTTTATTATGTAGTGATATTACTTTTTGAAGCAAAATATTAAATGGCAACATAAAATAAGGTGATATACATTACACAAATAGTAAATGTAGAGTTCAAAGATAAAATTGAAACATCTAAACCCCAAAAGGCCAAGTTGTAACTTCAGAACACACACATTTTCATTAACATCAATGAGAAATCGAGAAATCATGTAAATTCTAGTGCTAAAGTAAACATTAGAGTTGCATTTCTATCCCCATCTTCCATAAGTAAATTCCACTCAGCTCAGTATTCACTACCTAACCTATATAGCCATATAAATGTTATGTTACTACATATGATACTACAGTACAATGTGGAGAATCTTATGGTCAGGTACTATTTTTACACATGTATAGATGTATTGGCTATGCCAGCCATCCAGTCACAAAAGCACACACGCTTGGCACACACACACACACAGTATTTTACATAAAAATACAGGTTTTGTGTAAGACAGAATGTTCTGTTATAAAGTTTAAAAAATAGCCTGTTTTTATTAGTAAAACAATACCAAAACAATTTAGATTGCATAAGAACACCTTCCTAGACAGATAGCAAGGATAAAGAATCAAGATGGAATGGCTATCATTTATATGAAATATAAAATCCATTTACTTAATAGAATATTTCAGATGAGAGAACTTTAAATGTGTAAATGAAGAACCTCCCAACAATTCAATCAGGTAACTGCATTCTTTTTTTAGGATTGTGCAATTCCTATATTGTGATTCTGGAAATAAATGTAGCTGTTTTAATGAGGTGAAACAGATGATGCAACATTCTTAAGAGTAACTTTTCAAAACTGAATCCAAAATTTTGCAGAGCCATTTTATTGATTCATTAGCATCATGCTCAAATCCCATTTTCTGGTTATTCCCATGAGCAAGTGCCAACTCATATATTAGGAATGTACAAATTGTTTTATGTACGGAACAGGCAATTATCCAAATCCGATACTGTACAAGGTATTTCAGATTTCAGTTTTGCCCAATTACATTTGGCAGAAACCCCAACATGCAGTTGCTTCTTCTTGAAAGGAACCAGTATTTTTTCATTTTATGGGTATCTCAACCAGACAAATCCATAAAGAATTTAGCATGCTATGTGAAGCATGGCTATACCAAACAAATGACGGAGCCTTAGTTAGCTACATCATGTCATAGGAAGCCTGTGTATGGCAAGTTAGAATTTGTGATTATTTTGCCATGCAGAGCCAGCAATCAGATTAGTGAGCCAGGCTGGATACCAATGCTATTCTATTAGTTCCTTTTCTAGTTTTACTTTCAGGCAATATGAAGAAATAATTTAGAATTGGTAGCATCATAGCAATGAAGGAAGGATAAGATGAAATGAAAGGCAGTAATGTCTCCCAGAGTAGCAAAATGTATCTGAAAGACAGTCTCCTGAACTTTAAAAAAATGCAGATTGTAAAATCAAGCTCTCCCTATAAGCTCATTACACCAAAGCACAATTAAGCTTTATTCTGGGAAAGCAATTCTCCAAACTAGCTGAACTAAAGATAACTGGATTGCAGAATATTCACAGATCACATTTTAAGGGCTTTTAAGGATGCACATAGACCAATCAACTTTGATTGATCCATGCTCAAGTTTGTTTCAGATGATTTTGGTCTGAGAATGTAACAAAATGGCACTGTTTGGCTCCCAAGGTGGACCACAGTTAAGTAGTTTAGAAAAAAAGTGATGAGAGAAAACAGCCAAGTATATAAATGGTCAGGAGTGAAATGCTGAGAAAATAAAGGAGGAAGAGCTAGTACAGTGGTTCTCAACCTTTTTAATGCCGCGACCCCAACCGGTCGTAAGTCGAGGACTAAACCAGTCGTAAGTCAAGGACTAAACCAGTCGTAAGTCGAGGACTACCCAACCGGTCGTAAGTCAAGGACTTTCCCTGCCCAGGAGCGCCGCGCATGCGTGGTTCCGCCCCCTGCGCCGGCCGAGGCGTAGCTGGCAAGCGGCAGAGACGGAGCAGGCCGACCACCAGCTGGCCCAGCCCAAGGGAGGTAAGGCACCCACCGGAAAAGGGGAAAAAAATGGCGGACAAAAAAATGGCGGACAGCCTTGCTTGGCGACCCCCGTAAAATGGTTGATCGACCCCAAATGGGGTCCCGACCCACAGGTTGAGAACCATTGAGCTAGTAGAATATGTCATTCCA